ACTTTAACTGCTTCTCATTTGGCAGCTTGCTCTTTGCCTTATGTATATAAGATTACTAGATACATGATCAATTTAGACCCACATTTTCAAATAATCCAACTTATGTGTTTTGTTATAGCTACAGAATGTTCAAAGTAAGCTTGGGATAAACATTAAGATTTTCCATATCCAAGCCCATACTTCTGAATTTAATAATTGCCATCTATTTTCTCATAATAAATGGTTTTTAAATTTGTGCTTTTCAAACTATAATAACAAATCCTGCTATACTGCTCCTCTTAAACTTCAAAAAAACACACCCAATCTGGGTTCAGAAGATAGGGTCTTTCTTAGTATAATATGATTCACTTAAATTTAGTAGTCTTAGATAATTCCAATCCAGGAAAATTGTAGTTTGTACATTTATAAAGAGATTACTGACCCCTAAGGGTGGGTGATGGAAGATGGGTTACTAAATTACACTGATACCCTTGAATGTGATTTCTGCAAATGTTTTATCAGCTCCCTTTCGTTCTTAGCAATAAAGCACATTAAGAAAGTGAAGAACCATAGTTCGATAAAATAAGAGTGCTAAGGTTAAGGATAGTATTGGTATTTAGAGACTAATAGATGGATTTCTTTTATGTCCATTTGAATTACTTTGGGATTTTGGTTTGTAGGCCTATGCTAATTTGTTTGGAACACATCATAATGATATTTGCCATTACTTTTCATGAACCTCATTTCAGTAAACATTCTGTTATTGGATATGTCAGATAAATGTGGTTTGAGGAAGTACTAATTATGCAAAAGTTTGATGAATTAAATATGTAAAATACTGCCTTTGGTCCTATCCATCTTATGCTACCAATCCTTTGAAAAATTATTTAAAGGTCCTTTCCATTTCTGAAATTATGTTTCTACCGCCAGGTTGCCATGATTCAGAGGTCTTTGCCCTCTGTCTATTGCCCTGACAAAGAAAAATAAATAAATAAATAAAGATCGCTCTGATAACCTTAACATTTACAATCAATTTTAAAGGAAAAAAATTACAGAATTTGAGAGTTTTTAACAAAGGAAGTAAAAATTTGACAAATACTTTGTCCAATTAATATTTCCCCATAGTTCATCACTTGTTCTTACATTAACTCAAATTAAGAATATATGTATTCGGTGGAGAGTTTATCAAAAATGTATTTCTCTTTAGTTTTCTCATTGGTAGTGTTGGGATTAAATAAATTAATTAACTATAGTTTTAATGTATGTTACAGACCATATACTGTTTATTGTCTTAGCTTTAGTTTTAATGAACATAAAGCTAAAATAGTGATAAAGAGTTGATATGGAAAAACTGAAATAATTTATTCAGTTTTTGAGGCTTTACTGCATTTTCTACATTATGTTTGTATACTTAAGATTGTGTTGGGTTAGATCTATACTTAATATATAGTTTCATTAAGGAAAGATTTGGTAAGGCTTTTTTCTTTCCCCAAATCCACTGCCCACTTGGCTTATTAGATATATCTTTTTGAAAATGCCATCCGGTTTCTCTCATCTTTCCTGTTGGAATTCTCTTGCAAAGCTAGGAAGCTGGTTCAGTGTAAGGTGTATTCTCTAGATAGATAGAGAGATGATAGATAGATAAATGGATAGATAGGTGGGTAGGTAGATGGATAGATGTCAGAGCATATGGTTACCCAGATTCTACATAGTCTTTTTTTTTTAAAGGATGATATGAGAAGATTATGTTAGTAAAAATATTTCATTAGCTTTAAGGCAGTGAATGTTATTACAGGACAACGCAACATAGGACAATGCAAAGTTTGGGACTACCAAAAGCTCCAGACTGAGACATAAGTCAATTTTTATACACTTAAGAATAGTAAGAATTTTAGGTCAAAAGGCAAAAATGTCTACAGAGATTAAATGCTGCCAAATGCAAACATCAAGAAAATCCCATACTCCTTGGTCACTTGCTTCACATTCAGTTGCCTTCAAAATGCAGGATAAGTTTCTTATACTCAGTGAAGGTGGGAAGAGGTGGTCACCACCCTCCTTTTAGTCATTCTTCTAAACCCAGTAATTAAAAATTAGAGTTGTTTGAAAAAGTTCATAAAGTAAGTCAAAGCTGTTATCAAATCACAGACCACAGGCAAAAACACTTTGAAATCCTTTAATGGGTTTTAAAACATTCTATTCAAGTTTATTTGGAATATGTAATGTATATAACATTAGAATAATACCTAATGTACTGATTAATATTGAATGTGGACTAAAAGGTTTTCAGTTTATATAACAAATATTGACATAATTTCAGTTCTAGTATTGCTGTTTACTGTAGCTGCTGTAATGGTGCAATGCCATACTGAATCATATGGTATAATTTAGTGTCTTCTAAATGTATCTTTCTTTGTCCATGTATTGCTCATCATTTTACAAATTTCAGTTCTGTAATGGTGAGGTAATTCATATCTTGGGTATAGTGCTACAATTATGGAGTGTTTCCATTTTTGGTCAGCAATTGATCTTTCACATTTTTGCATTTTCTGGTATTAATCATGTTTATTGGCCCAATGTTACTATAAAGAATTCTCAGTGTTGCAATGTAGTTACTTTCATTGTTTATTGAGATAGTCCTTCCCTCAACAACATAACAAACTTTAATTATTTTAATTGGAATTTTGAATTTGTGAATGCCAAATTATGTCAACGTACCAACCATAAATTACCTCCATGCTCTTAACCCACTACCATTGAGTTGATTTCAACTCATAGCAGCCCTATAGGACAGAATAGAACTGCCCCATAGGATTTCCAAGGCTGTAATCTTTACAGAAGCAGACTGCCACATATCTCTCCTGCAGAGCGACTGGTGGGTTCGAACTACCTACTTTAACCACTGCACCACTAGGACCCTTAGGAAGTGACTATACAACAGCAAACATCTGAGTGAAAAGAGAGAACAATGGTCTAATCAGAGGAGTGTTACATATTCTCATTTAATACACTACAACAAGATCAAGGGAATGATTTCTGGTTTATTAAGCCATTCTATCAAATTCAACCAAATTTTCTACCTTCTCAGCTTCCATCCATGTTACATGAATGGTTCATAGCAGGGAGTGAACGATTAGCCACTTTTTTCTTCCCCATTTGATTGGAAAAGTTTTGTCCAGACAGGCAGAGCCAGGTATCCCGCAGTATTTACATATGCTGCCAGAGAATCTAGTGTGTCTTTGTTTGGAATTTACCCAGTGGGAAACTGGCCCAAACTCCCAGTTTGGAATTGAGATTAATTTTGACCTCAAGGGAGCTTGAAAGAGTCTCGAGGAGGAGGTGAGGTTGAAAAACCTCTCAGAGATTCTAGCATCAATTGGCTTAAAGATAATTTTAAATTTTGAGAGAGAGGGGTGCCAATTAGTTCTGAAAACATCTCACTGAGAAGTCTATAGCTCTGAAAACTGCTTTTGCAAATGTGGTGTTTGAAAGCAGAAGTGTAAAAATGTTCATGCTTTTTGACCCAGAAATCCCACTCCAGGGAATTACTTGATTCTAAAGTAACAATTCAAGTGAATGTTGTTGTTACAGTGTAATTTATAATGGTGACAAATTTGAAACAAACTCTAAGTCCCATGTAAATTATAGAATGTTAACTCATATTTCCACCATTCAACACAGTAATTACTTTCACTTCTTTGAGATCTCTCACAGGCTTTGTTCATTTGGATACCCATTTTTATATTGCAAACACTCTGCCATGTTGCTTCAGGTTTCATTTTTACAAAGCTTAATGGCTACATAGTAATCTACTGGGTTCCCGTTGCTGTTGAGTCGATTCTGACTCATAGCAACCTCCCATAATGGCAGAATGTTTACAGTATAAAAATGGGTATCCAAATGAACGAAGCCCGTGAGAGATCTCAAAGAAGGGGAAGTAATTACTGTGCTGAATGGTGGAAATATGAGCATGTTAATTTTTTCTACCTTTTTTTAAATTTAAAAATTAGTAAATGTACATATCTTACAGAGTTCTCAGGGATCCCAAGTTTGACACCCACCTTATGCATTTCCCAAATAGAGTTAGGGTTTTAGGCAGCAGATGAGATAGATTCAGACAAGTAGAAGTGCTAATATCACAATTCCAGCCTGGGAATGGGGGCAGAACCACTGACCACTGAATGAATGAACCACATCAAGCAAATAGATGGGGCTGCTCATGCAACTGTTTTGTTTTCTAAAGCCAGCCTATGTGTTACTGCAATGATTGGAATTCAACCCCTTATTCCCCTATTTAAAGTACTATCCTTAGAAGGATGCCCTGGAAATAATTCTGTGGTTACTTCCTTTGTGGTTTTAACTAATGGTTGTGGCCCCCATGAAATATCTATGCCACCGTAGAGCGTTATGATAATATAGTAGCCTGTACTTACGCACACATTACTTCACTCTTTAGCTTGGATGATCAAAGTAAAGTACAATTTTAAATTGGGAGTCAGGGTTTCATGTTTTATCCAGTTTGTTCTTTACAAAAGCCTGCTATGTATGAAGATATTTGCTTTTTGAGGGCTGGATCTGAAAAGGAAAACAATCACTGATCATTTTCTTTTTTTACTAATATTTTTCATGTTATCATGCTCTTATAAATGAATGCATTCTTTTTGAGTGAACAATAATTGTTCTTCTTACAAATATAGTGTATATATATGTTAGAGGGTGGGAATAGGAGGCAGTAGTGGGCAGTCTTCAACATATAGGTGCTTCCAAAAGCTATTCATTATTATTCCAGGTTTGCTTAGACCACTTGTAAGGCAAGAGGGTCCATGTTATTAATGAGAACAGTTTAGTCTTCCCAGGGGGAGCTTAAATCCCAAACATATTGAGAGCTTTTGAAACCATTATGAAAATGAGGTACCATGTTCAATAATACATTTCTAAGAGATAGTACTAATGATTACAATCCTTAAAAAAGGTTTTCTTATGGAAAGTTGTCACATTGTGATTTGTTCATATGACTTTTTCAGGTGGCAGTGAATCCTCCTGGGATAAGGATAAGATGCAGTCTCCTCTTGCTGCTCCTGCACCCCAACATGGAATTGCTCATGCAGCCCTGGCTGGCCAGCCAGGACTTGGGGGTGCTCCCACCCTCAATCCACTGCAGCAGAACCACCTGTTGACCAATAGTATGTATACTGTCCTTCCAAAAATGAAGGGTGTTGAGAAAAATACCATTCAAGATCCACTAATCCACTAGATACCTTGAGCTTGAAGGGCTAGTAAAGAGTGGTTCACAGAGTGTAGGTATCTTTGGAGGCCATGTAGCAGAGTAGTTAGGAATGTTGACTAAAGTCACATTGACCTGGGTTTGAATTTCATATCTTCCACTGTTTGAAGAAATTGCCTAACTTTCCCATGTCTCAGTTTCCACAGCTATGAAATAGGGATAATAATACACCCACTTATTAAGGTTATTGTAAGGGCTAAAAATGATCAAGAAAAATCTGTTAATGGTGGCGAGCATATAGTTAAGTACTGTATAAATTTTAACTATTATTATTACTCAGTAAGCAGACTACGGCTAATATATACAACTTGAAGTTTAGATGATATTTTTATGGCCTTTAAAGGCTCAAAAGTCTGCAACAATGCAGGACTTGTATATATTACTTGGCTAACATTCTACTTTTCTTACAAACAGGAAATTCAGGAGGGAGTTCCATTACTCCATTCCCTGAGACTTTCTTTTTCCCACTAAATGCTGGGATTAAGGCAGCAGAGGGATTCAGAGATATTTTTATGTGATGTCCCAAATATTAAAGAAATTTATCAGTTGTTAAGCATATAAAAATAAGATATGGTGTCTTACTTTAAAGAGGTTATAATCTCAAGAGTGAAACATCCCATACAAAATGAAATGTTAAGGAAAGCAAATAAAATGAATGCTAGAAAATGTATAAATATTATGTTATGAGAAGTCAAGGAATGACTAATTGAGGTAGACCTGTGCCTTAAAAGAGAAGGAATTTTACCATAGGCAAATAAATGGGGTTAGAGAGGCAGATTCCAGAGGGAGGCATCAACATGAGTGGAGGCTGAGGTGAATTAAAGCTGTAAAGTGCTGCAAAAAGTCTAGTGGTGTTAGAGTAGTATAATGAGATAACAAAAGTAGTATAATGAGATATCAAAGCTAGAAAGGTAATTTGGGATGAAGTCAAAGAATTTGGATTTTATTCTGGAGAGAGAAAGTAGTCACTGAAAGTTTTAAAATTGGGATAGAGGGGCAAATAAAAGGGCATAGGAAGAAAAAATAGGAAGACAAGTTACAGGCGAGAAAGGATGCCTGCCTGAACAAGGGCAGTCACTGTAGGAATTGCAAGACAGTATAGAGGTCAACATGAATTAGATATAATGAATGTGGGATTTAGAGGGAGGATTAGAGGATGACTTAAATTTGTAGCCTTAGTGGCTAGGAGGAGGTGGTGCCATGCACTGAAATAAAAATGATAGGAATTGCTAGAGTACCAAGATGCATTATAAATGATGCTTATAACCATCTGTGTGATGTCTTTGAGGTTGGCAGGAAAGAGGTGACCCATTTTGGTGATTTATTAAAAGGATTTGTTTTCATTTCCATACTATTAAAAGTCTCTGTACATTTCCGGCATGAGACTAAATGAGCCAGATTGCTGGAGTGTTGTGTACTATTGATGGCTGTTAATTTAATGTTTTCAGCTTGGAGAAAAGGTTGACTTACATAATTCAGTATTTGCATATGCTTTGCACATGGAACTCATGTGGGGTCTACTCTTAAACTGGCCTGTAATGTAAATTTTAGATTGGAGTCTAGGCATTATAGTCAACTGATGGTTAGTTATTGCAGGTCATGATCTGAAAGTGTGATTTTTAAGTCCTTCATTGATGAATTATATCTTAAAACTGTCAATGAGCTGTTAAATTCTGTTTGTAGTTTGCATTTAGTTTGCATGTCAATTGGACTTTAAGTAAGCATGTGACTTGATATAGCCAGATGGTGTCTGGGTGAAGCTGAAAATCTTTGGAGAATGAGGAAAGATTATTACACTGTTAGAGGGAACAAAGGCTTATTTAAGCATTTGAGAGGAATGTTTGCATTGTTTTAACTAAACGGAGGCACTGATGGCTACTTTTCACCCAGTTTCATCAATTTGTAACTAAAACACTATGTGCTCAAAGAAGAACTAAAATCTATAATTATCTTGGGTTTGTGGGGAAGGAGAGTCTTACATAGAAACCTACTTAGGTCATAGATGTTTTCCTATTATGTTCTGCATAAAATGAAAGTTTTAGGGGAAAGATAAATAGCAATTAATTTAATATATGTTATACAGTAAACTTGCAAAACCCAGAACCTGTGTAAAGCAGAAACCTGTCAGAGGAGGAAAACTCAAATATTTTCCACTAAAACAAGTGATAATTAAATAATCACAGGAATTAAATTAATAATTAAGGAATTAAATTAATAAAATTAATAATCACAGGAAAATACTTTATAACCAGTAAGTTATGTCTGGTAGATTGCTCTTAAAAAGAATTTGTAGGTAGTAAGCCATAAGTTAGCATCAATAAAGTTTAAAATACTTTATTGATAGTCTCTGGGGATTTGGAATCAAAGGAAGAAGAGAAAATATTCTCTTTCTGGGGTTCCACACAAAATTTAAGTTTCCAGTTTTGTTTTGATCCTTGTGTAATTCTGATAACAGTGCATTTTGTGGTTGTCTTTCTCAGAAACATTGGTGACTGATGTGTCCTTCATTTAGGAGTTCCTTTAATTGAGATGATCACTTTAGTGTTATATGAGACCTGTCATATTTGGAAGCTTGTTTTATTGAACTGTGCTGCCTTTGAATTTTCTTGTCAAAAGCTTTAAACCATCCATCATAATCTGGAGATAGACCTCAAATAAATTAACACTACTTCCTCCTTCTAGCCTCATTTTTTGTCCTAAAAACATTTTGAGTGTATGTCTTTATTACTGCTGCTGTTGTCTTGAGGAATGAGATTTAGGGGATCTCAATATACTTCCTATGGATTAACTGTCGTTTTCTTGCTGTTGTGATATGGGAAGCATGAAAAAGTGAAAAGATAGCAAAGAGGAAAAATGGCTGTTATCAATAGTTGATAATTGTGTGTAGGGCCAATGTAAACTTTGCCAATCATGGAATTTCCCTAGTCAATAATAATTTAGAAAAATTGTAAGCAATGATATTCTAGAATACCTGTTAAAGATTACTGGTTCCTGGGCTTCTGTCCAAAATAGGGAAAATAGGGAAAGAGTACTGTAGAGGTAATGGATTTAAGTACATTTTTAAATGCTATCGTTTACTTAGTAGGCATGTTAACATCTATAATGTCAGGCTAACTGTCCCTGTCCTCTGCTTAAGAGGAGGTTTGTCTCACAAATCCCATAATAATCAACTATTTTGTGACTTTTACATGATGACATATCTGTGGCTGCTGCAAATGGAATGTGGATAATACTTGAACGATATTCTTTAAGAGATTTAAAATGTCTGAAAAACATTATTTCACCTTGCACAAGAAAATAAATGGAATTCCAGATACTACTTAACAATACCGATATTTGTTTTTGGACAGGGAAATGGATTTGTATTTAGATAGAGAAATTATTTCTTGTTGTCAAAGATTTCAAATCAGAGTTATAAATGTTAATTTTAGAGATTTATAATTAAAAGGTCATAACATATTCCAAATCTTGTTTTCTTCTGAAGCTTGAAGAATCAACATAGCAATATATTATAACTATTAAAAAGAATATTACTTTCTACTTTTAACAACTGTGATGTTTATATTAAAGATTTTTGTTTGTTTTTATGGATAAAAATGTTGCATCTTTTAAATATTTGGGGGATGTGAGCAAGAACATGGTATATTTATAAATAAAAATCTGTGGATATAGGAATATTTAAAAAAATTATAAAACATTGAACAATCCCATAGGTTACATTAATTGCCCAAAGAGATATTAGAATATAGTAAGGCTTGTTTTTTTGAAAAAGCCAACAAGAATGAAATTGGGTACTTTTTTTTAAATCTATCTCATATCATCAATTTTGATATGATTTCCTTTGTCCAAATAATATGAGTAACAATTTTCATATGTACTGTTTCTTTTAGGACTGGATCTGCCATTTATGATGATGCCTCATCCCCTACTTCCAGTCAGCTTACCTCCTGCATCAGTTGCCATGGCAATGAATCAGATGAACCATCTCAATACTATTGCCAACATGGCTGCTGCAGCCCAGATTCACAGTCCACTCTCCAGAGCTGGGGCCTCTGTTATAAAGGTAAGAATCATGATTTATAAGAGAACAAAGGTATTATTTAATGTAAATTATGATAAAATATTAGCAATACTACTTTATCTTCAACAGTAACACTCAGCTCATTGGCTCAGTTGGTTAGTATGCAGTATTGATGAGTTTGGTTTCTGACTAGGCCTGTTAAGCTTTTTTAGTTCGTTTGTTTATTTGTTTTCATTCCATGGCCACAGATTACACCTTTAATTCTAGCTTCCTGTCTGCGAATATATGTACAATGTGTGGGAGGTGTGGCAAGTCCAATAACAGAGTAGAAGAATGTGCAAAAACCATTCCGATTGCTGGAGTGAAAGAAAGTAAACACTGCATCATCTTTGTATTTTAGAGATAATTAATTGTGGGGTAGTATCAACCATACTGGAGCCCTGGTAGTGCAGTGGTTAAGAGCTATGGAGAGTCAGGGCTACTAACCAAAATGTCGGCAGTTCGAATACACCAACCACTCCTTGGAAACCATATGGGGCAGTTCTACTCTGTCCTATGGGTCGCTATGAGTCAGAATTGACTCGACAGCAATGGGTTTGGTTTTCATCAACCATACAGGTCTTGTAGTCAGACAGACCCAGGTTCCAATTCTGGTTCTCTCATTTATTAGCAGAATGACCTTGGGTATGCCACTTAACCCACCTGAACTTGTTTATTCATCTGTAAAATGAAGGTCATTGTAATAAACAATCCCACTATTATACTGGCTGTCTGGAGACAATGTAAGATATACATTAAAAACTGTGAAGCATTAAATGTTTATTATCACTTATATCATTATTAGAATAATATTTTTCAAAAAATTCATCACCACTGTATAATGAAACACAAAGGAGATTTTATAATTCCTTCTTTTGTGCTGCCTTTGCCTTTCCTCTATGAGTTTGGCATATGGCCTCCCTGTTCTATCTGCAAGTATCATGTGAGCTAGGCTTTTGAGTAATTTTTTTTGGTGAGAAGATGATATAAAGGTGTAGAAGGATCCTAAGAGTATAGTTTGGCAAAGGAGAGGGTCAGTGAAAAAGAGGAAGACCCTCAACAAGATGAATTGACACAGTGGCTGCAACAATGGACTCAAACATAGCAACGACCGTGAGAATGACACAGGACCAGGCAACGTTTCATCCTTTTGTACACAGGGTCGCTATGAGTCAGAACCAACTCTACCTAACAACAAGAGAATAGTTAGTTAATCAGAGTGACCCATTAATTTGTTCCTTTGTTCCTTCATTCAGTCAACAAATATTATACTCTTGATGCATACATGTCATTGTATTAGGCAATATCAGAGAAATCTAGATAAACAAGACATAATTCCTGTCTTCCAGGACCTCACAAATTAAACTGGAGGCAAACAAGTACCCATTTAATGTGTCCTAACAAGACAGAATGTGATGGACACCACAAGAGGATCACCAATTATTATAGAAGTTCAGAGGAAAAAAAGATGATACCCAGCTTTTGAAGGGATCAGGAAAGGCATTACATGTGATGGATTTGAACTGGGCCTTGACATATTGATATGAATTTAATAGATAGACATTGGGGTGAAGGAAGCAAAGGCAGAGGAAATGTGAGATTTTAGACTTGTTTGTTACGTTTTAAAATTAACTTCCAGTTTTGGGAGCCTCTAAAACACTGAAGAAAATTGAAAACAACCTTTGTAGGAAAAGGAAAGCAAACTTGATAATTTTTATTCAGCTCCATATATATTTCCAAGTCCAAATGGAAGAGTGCTTCCTGTAAAAATTGTGGCCTTTAGTGGGTTAGTCTATCCTAGCTTATGAAAGACCTGTTTTTTGAATATTTGACTAGGGTGCAAACTGGGAGTAAGGGTTGTCTTTGAGAGACAAATCACGTGTTAAAAGATAAAATAAGTTTCCCATGATTTTGAAATTAAGTGGCTACTAAGTAAATGTGACCCTGCACACATTTTGGGAAATTCTCTTAAGAAACAAAACACAACCTAAAGAAATGGCATTACCATACTTACTTTGAAATGATGAACAAATACTCTCAACAAAGGCATACTTTTGACTCTTTAAAAGTACATTTGGAGGAGTTCCGGCACAATGGCGCTCTAGGCAGAAGCACCACGCCGTCCCTCCACAGCAAAGATCCAAAAAACTAAGCCGAATAGAGAATACAACAATCCTGATACCCTAAAACATCAAATGAAGAGATAAAGAACTCAGCCAAGCAACAAATGGAGTGAGAAAACTGACAGAGAATGGAGAGCGAGGAGAGATTCATGCAGAGGTGCCCTACCAGCTAACGCAGCACATATCTGCCATCTTGGACTCCTATTGGATACCATCAAACGGGGTATGAGAAATCAGCCTCACGGAGTGTCCAGCGGGAGACAAAACAACCGGTAATTTGCGATATACGCTTTCCCATCCCCACCCTTCTTCACCCCAGCTCGGCCTCCTCTGCTTCCCGCAGCCACAATCTCTTGACTGGAAAACACCGGCTGCTTGGATTCCACACACCCGAACGGGCCGGCTCTCTGAGTGCCATTTGTTGGCTGCTGGTGTTGCTTTCTTTCCGCTTCTTTTGATTTCTTCCTTACCTCTCACCACCTCCCCCTCCTTTCACTCAAATACCTGGCTCCGTGTGCCATCTTTGCTTCTTCCTGAGGGGCTGCAGAGCTCCGGTAATTTGTGATATATGCTTTCCCACTCCCTACCCTTCTTCACCCACACTCGGCCCCTCTGCTTCCTACGGACACAGTCTCTTGCCGAGAAACACCAGCCTGCACTAGCTAGCTCTCTGAGTTCCATTTGTTGGCTGCTAGTATTGCTTTTTTTTCTGCTTCTTTTGATTTCTTCCTTACCTCTAACCACCTCCCCCTCCTTTCACTCAAATGCCTGGCTCCGTGCACCATCTTTGCTTCTTCCTGAGGGGCTGTGGAGCTGCTTCCTGGTCTGGGCTGCTCCGCTGGTGGGATCCCAGGGATTTTGTTCGTTTGTTTGTTTTGAATTGTTTGTTTGTTTTCTTTTCCTTTTCTTGAGTTGGGAGCCCCGTCTGGCCAGGTGGTGTTGTGTGGCAAGGAGACTTACCCCTCGGCTTGCACAGGCATGCAGAGGGATCCCTGAGGACATTTCTTTTTTTGTTGATTTTTTTTTCTGTTTTTTTTGGGGGCCTTTCTTGTTCTTTTTTTTTAATTTGTTTTGTTTCCTTTTCCCTCTTTTTCCCTTTTTGTCTTTCTTCATTCCTCAGTTTCTCGTCTCCCTATATCTTCCTTCACTTTCTGTTCCCGGAATACCTGGCGTTGTATATCTCTACGCCTTCTAGCCAGGCTGTACTGCAACACCTGAGAGCAACTTTCCCAGACCTCATAGCTGCACCAGTGGGATCCCTGGGAACTTTGCAGTTCTTTAACCTTTCCAATTTTTATTTATTCATTCTTTACTTTTCTTTTCCTCCTCTTCCCCTTTCTGTTTTTCTCCATTTCATAGTCTCTCATCTCTCCACTCCAACAGCAAACTCACATAGCATTCCTTTTTGTTTGTTTGTTTGTATGCTTTTGGCTCCTGTTCCTCTCTCCTCACTCCCATATCCATCTTAGCTCCACACATTACAATATCCACGCTGCATACTGCCTACCTGCACTGTACGCTTGACATCACACCACCAAGCAGCACAGGAATGGCCTACAGGAACCTGCCCTGCACTGATTACTGACCCGCTCTGGTGGCTGTAGTAAGTGCCACAAACAACCCTATCCAGTAACTCCTCTTCAGCTAGACCTGCCCTGCCGTACCATATCTGAGTGACTGACCCTGCCAATCGGAGAAGGAGGCAAAAAGTATTGTGCCCACAGACGGAGCAAACAACAAAGAACACACAGTCTGCCTGCTCAGACATAGTCAAATTTTTTTTAAAAAAGAGACAAAACAAACAAATCTACAATCAATAAACAAGAAAAATAACTACTGAATGCCCGGAAGACAGCAGACAATATCAAAACATTTATAAAAACAGGACAGGATGGTTCCAGTAGGCATCCAAAATAAAACACCAGTTGACACTCCAGTGGAAGAAAATGCACTAGAACTACGTGATAGGGAATTCAAATCTCTAAAACTCAGAATTCTCCAAGAGCTGA